TACATAAGGGGGGATATGATCACCATGTATAATACATAAGGGGGGATATGATCTCCATGTATAATACATAAGGGGGGGATATGATCTCCATGTATAATACATAAAGGGGGATATGATCTCCATGTATAATACATAAGGGGGATATGATCTCCATGTATAATACATAAGGGGGGGATATGATCTCCATGTATAATACATAAGGGGGGGATATGATCTCCATGTATAATACATAAGGGGGGGATATGATCTCCATGTATAATACATAAGGGGGGATATGATCTCCATGTATAATACATAAGGGGGGGGATATGATCTCCATGTATAATACATAAGGGGGGGGATATGATCTCCATGTATAATACATAAGGGGGGGGATATGATCTCCATGATAATACATAAGGGGGGATATGATCTCCATTATAATACATAAGGGGGATATGATCTCCATGTATAATACATAAGGGGGATATGATCTCCATGTAAATACATAAGGGGGGGATATGATCTCCATGTATAATACATAAGGGGGGATATGATAACCATGAATAATACATAAGGAGGATATGATCTCCATGTAATAATACATAGGGGGGATATGATCTCCATGTATAATACATAAGGGGGGTATGATCACCATGTATAATACATAAGGGGATATGATCTCCATGTAAATACATAGGGGGGATATGATCTCCATGTATAATACATAAGGGGGGGGTATGATCTCCATGATAATACATAAGGGGGATATGATCACCATGTATAATACATAAGGGGGGATATGATCTCCATAGGTATAAACATAAGGGGGGGTGTATAATACATAAGGGGGATATGATGTGTAGAGTATTCACCCTGAGGTCATTACAGAGGACAAGGGGCGCTCTTTACATTTGGAGGAAAATAAATTTCATCTCCAAACACGGAAAGGTTTCTTCACAGTGAGAGCTGTGAGAATGTGGAATAGACTCCCTCAAGAGTTGGTTCTGGCCAGCTCAGTGGATACCTTTAAAAAAGTCCTGGATTATTTCTCTGATACACAGAATATAACTGGATATAAGATTTATAGGTAAAGTTGATCCAGGGAATATGCGGATCGGGGGATCAGAAAGGAATTTTTATTTTTCCCTGCAGGAGCAAATTGGATCATGCTTTGCAGGGGTTTTTTCCCTTCCTCTAGATCAGCTGTGGGTATAGGATATATATATATATATATATATATATATATATAATTTTTTATTTTTTTTTAATTATTATATACTTATATATTTATTTTATATATACAGTGGGGATCAAAAGTTTGGGCACCCCAGCTAAAGATTTGTATTAATGTGCATAAAGAAGCCAAGGAAAGATGGAAAAATCTCCAAAAGGCATCAAATTACAGATCAGACATTCTTATATATGTCAACAAAAGTTAGATTTTATTTCCATCATTTACACTTTCAAAATAACAGAAAACAAAAAAATGACGTCTGCAAAAGTTTGGGCACCCTGCAGAGTTAATATCTTGTACTGCCCCCTTTGGCAAGTATCACAGCTTGTAAACGCTTTTTGTAGCTAGCCAAGAGTCTTTCAATTCTTGTTTGAGGTATCTTTGCCCATTTCTCCTTACAAAAGTCTTCCAGTTCTTCGCGATTTCTGGGCTGTCTGTCACGCACTGCTCTTTTAAGGTCTATCCATAGACTTTCAATTATGTTGAGGTCAGGAGATTGTGAAGGCCATGGCAAAACCTTCAGTTTACGCCTCTTGATGTAATCCCCCGTGGATTTCGAGGTGTTTTAGGATCATTATCCATTTGTAGAAGCCATCCTCTCTTTAACTTCAGCTTTTTCACAGATGGCATCAAGTTATCATCCAAAATTTGCTGAAATTTTATTGAATCTATTTTTCCTTCTACTTGTGAGATGTTCCCTGTGCCACTGGCTGCAACACAACCCCAAAGCATGATTGATCCAACCCCTTGCTTAACAATTGGACAGAGGTTCTTTTCATTTAATTCTGTGCCCCTTCTTCTCCAAACGTACCTTTGCTCATTCCGGCCAAAAAGTTCAATTTTAACCTCATCGGTCCACAGAACTTGTTTCCAAAATGCATCAGGCTTGTCTATATGTTCATTTGCAAAGTTCAAAAGATGATTTTTGTGGTGAGGACGTAGAAGAGGTTTTCTTCTGATGACTCTTCCATGAAGACCATATTTGTACAAGTATCTCTTTATAGTGGAATATTGTACCACAACTCCAGTGTCTGCCAGATCTTTCTGGAGGGATCCCGCAGTCAAACGTGGGTTTTGAATTGTTTTTCTCACAATGCTGCGAGCTGTTCTGTCTGATATTTTTCTTGGTCTTCCAGATCTTGCTTTAACTTCCACTGTTCCTGATGACTGCCATTTCTTAATTACAGTCCGAACAGAGGATATTGACATCTGAAAACGCTTTGCTATCTTCTTATAGCCTTCTCCAGCTTTGTGAGCGTCAACTATTTTCAGTTTCAGTTTTCTAGACAACTGCTTAGAAGAACCCATGGTGCTGATTGTTGGGGCAAGGTCAGATGAGTCTGGGCATTTAAAACCTTTGAGATTGACATCACCTGGTCTTCCCAGACGATGATTGAGAACAATCCATGACACTGGCAGGTCTCAGCTTGGCAAAGGGGGCAGTGCATGCTATAAATTCTGCAGGGTTCCCAAACTTTTGCAGACGCCATTTTTTTGTTTTCTGTTATTTTGAAAGTGTAAATGATGGAAATAAAATCTAACTTTTGTTGACATATTATAAGAATGTCTAATCTGTAATTTGATGCCTTTTGGAGATTTTTCCATCTTTCCTTGGCTTCTTTATGTACATTAATACAAATTTTTAGCTGGGGTGCCCAAACTTTCGATCCCCACTGTGTGTGTATATATATATATATTTTATATTTATATTATATATATATATATATATATATATATATATATATATAATTATATATATATATATATTGATATATACTTTTTTTTTTTTTGAACTGGATGAACGTTTGTCTTTTCATATACATTTGTATTTGATATATATATATATATATATGTATATATATATATATATGTATATATATATATATATATATACCTCTCTGCGGCCTTCGACACAGTCGACCACCCCCTCCTCCTCAAAAAAACTACACTCCCTCGGCCTCAGAGATTCTGCTCTCTCCTGGCTCTCATCCTACCTGTCACAACGCTCCTTCAGCGTTACCTATAATGCTACCACCTCCCCCTCTCTGTTGGGGTCCCTCAAGGCTCTGTCCTCGGGCCCCTTCTCTACTCCATCTATACCTCTCCCTTGGCCAACTCATACACTCTCACGGCTTCAACTACCACCTCTATGCCGACGACACACAAATCTATCTCTCAACCCCCCACCTCACCCCCTTGGTCTCCGCCCGAATCACACACCTACTGAGCGACATATCAGATTGGATGTCACTCCACTTCCTTAAATTGAACCTCTCCAAAACCGAGTTTCTTGTCTTCCCCCCAGCCCGGACCCCACCCCCCATTGACTTCTCCGTCACATCCAACAACACTACCATCAAACCCGCCCTGCAGGCCAGAGTACTTGGTGTCATTCTGGACTCCAACCTATCCTTCCAGCCCCAAGTCCAATCTTTAACAAACTCGTGCAGACTCCACCTCCGCAACATCGCCAAAATCCGCACGTTCCTAACCCCAGAAACCACTAAACAGCTCATCCACTCCCTCATCATATCACGACTCGACTACTGCAACTCCCTCCTCACTGGCCTGCCTCGCCGCTGGCTATCCCCGCTTCAGTCTATCCCCGCTTCAGTCCATCCTGAATACGGCTGCCAGACTCATTCACCTTTCCAACCGCTCCATCTCTGCCACCCCCCTCCCAATCCCTCCACTGGCTTCCGATTGCGCAACGGATCAAATTCAAAATCCTAACACTGACGTACAAAGCCGTCCACCATACTGCCCCGAACTACATCACCGACCTAATATCCAAGTACCGCCCAACACGCACACTCCGCTCCTCACAAGACCTCCTTCTCTTTAGTTCCCTGGTCTCCTCCTCCCATGCCCGCCTCCAGGACTTCTCCAGGGTGTCACCCATCCTCTGGAACTCCCTGCCCCAACCCATCAGATTATCACCTACTCTCCTCTCCTTTAGGCGCACCCTGAAAACCCACCTCTTCAGGGAAGCCTACCCCACCCCCTGCTAACTTGCCGAGCTCCTCCACTCTTCCTACCACTCCATCCCCCACAGCTATCTCCTCCTGTACCACCATCCCCTCCCTCCTAGATTGTAAGCTCCAAAGAGCAGGGCCCTCGATCCCCTCATGTTTTGCATTGTATTGTTATTGTTCTTTCACATGTTCTGTCCCCCTTTGTAATGTACAGCGCTGAGCGAACCATTGGCGCTTAAATATAAATACTGTATAATAATATATATATATATATGTACAAAAATAAAATTTTTTTTTGTTGAACTGGATGGGCGTTTGTCTTTTCATGTATATTTCTTATATATATATATATATATATATATATATATATATATATATATATATATATATTATATATATATATATATATTTTTTTTTTTTTTTTTTTTTTTTTTACTGGATGGACTTTTGTCTTTTCTCAGGCAGACTAACTATGTAACTTGCTCTAACTTGCCAGCCAGCTTGCTAACAAACTGAATTAACCTATCTAGCAGTATGCATTAAAAAGAGGGGTTCAGTTAGCACACATTTGCAAAAACATCCATAAGCTGCAGAGCCTTGTCATGGCACCCCAGTATTCTGTATTTCCCAACTCTCCAAATGTAAGACCCCCCCCCCCCCCCCCCAATAGTAGAGGCGCATGTATTTAATGGATAGACCAAGGGCAGATGGACTAACTATGTTACATCTTTTTCTGGAAGGGGGTCAGTTGCATTAATCAGTAACTCGTATTCTGGAACCTTTTTTTTTTTTTTTTTTTTTTTTTTTAGCCCAATGCTGAACTGGAGAGACGTCCAACATCTCCTGGTGAAGACGTCACGATCTGTCCACCTCCGGGCCCCCGACTGGAGAACAAATGGAGCCGGACGCAAAGGTCAGAGAAGCCAGATGATTAGTAGTACAAGGCGTGATGTGTGTCCCATTCGGAGCCCTTACCCATAGACCGCTTGGCTCTCGTCCTCGCATTATTTCGGCATGGTTTTCATTGAACTCCTTTGACCTAATTGAGGGAAACGCGATCCACATTTTTTTTTTCAGTGAGAATATTTAGCATAATTCATGACCGTGGACCTGTGTTCATGTTACACAAGCTTCAGCTGATAAAACATTCCCGTTTCCAAAGAGCTCAATGTGTGGCCGCTGAGGGGGTCAGACAGAGCTCATTCAGCTTCAGTTACTTAAATCCTAGAATGCTGCACATTCTTTGGCTGTACAGGTGTCGGCCGATAATCTGTTCTTCTTTTATACTTTTTCTGAACCTTATATGTGGTGTAAGGGCCCGATCACACTAGCGGTTGAGGGGTAGTAAAACACCACAGTTGAGCCATGTTTTTACCACCCCACCACCGACCACTTTAACTTTAGCTGCAGAGGCAACGGCTGGGGCTGTATACCTGCCTTGGCCACGGTGCCTTTCTTTGCCAGGAATGCTTTCAGCAGCACACATGGTTTCTGCATCCTAGTGCCGGGTTCAAGGGCTTAGAGCAGGCGGCGAGGAGGTGATACAGGCGATGATAAACCCCAAACCAAAAATGTATTCTATTGCAGCTTACTAGTCCTTCAATATGGTGGCTGACTGGAGTCCATCTATGAGAAATTCATTTGACACACAAAGCGCAGCTTGGCCCCGCCCCTCGCTCTCTCCTCACTGGCAGTTGATTGACAGCAGCAGGAACCAATGGCTCCCACTGCTGCCTCTTTTCAGGGAGGAGGGAGAGAGCCAAGAGAGATGCCACCGTGTGTCTGTTCTGTGTGCATTTATTCATGTAGAGTAATAGGTGGGCATGTAATAGGAGAATTAAGGTGTTACTAAACACACAACAGTACAATCAGCCTGTATATGCAGTAAAGCATGCTTGTTATACTCACTGTGGAACCTAAGGGGTTAATCCTCTGCATTGTGTAAAAAGGCTGTTTGATCCTGTCTTCTCTGATCCTCCCCTTCTACTGTCCCCAATCCATCTGCTGATTGAACAGAGCCTTGGGGGCAAGCTGCCTATGCTCAGTTTGGTGGGTATTACTAGAGAGTTTTTTTTTCTTTGAGAGAGTGCATGTGATCAGCACAGGGCCAATCAGTGCTGTCCAGACAGGGCGTCAGGGGTCCTGCAGCCTCATAGGACAATCCAGGGAGAATGAAAACTCCTCCTACAGGCTTTAACCAGTGCTCTGCTGGACACAGAACTTACAAGACTGCTCTAACTGCTGAGGAGAAAAGGCATTTCGCAGTTTATATATACTAAAATAATTGCATTTCCATGTTGTGTGTACTGTGGGAGACCGGATATAGTGAATGCAGGGTCCGGGTTGACCAGATATAGTGAATGCAGGGTCCAGGGAGCCCGGATATAGTGAATGCAGGGTCCGGGGAGACCGGCTATAGTGAATGCAGGGTCCAGGGACACCAGATATAGTGAATCTCAGGGTCCGGGGAGAGCGGATATAGTAAGTCTCAGGGTCCGGGGAGACCGGATATAGTTTATGCAGGGTCCAGGGAGACCGGATATAGTTTATGCAGGGTCCGGGGAGACCAGATATAGTGAATGCAGGGTCCGGGGAGACCAGATATAGTGAATGCAGGGTCCGGGGAGACCAGATATAGTGAATGCAGGGTCCGGGGAGACCGGATATAGTGAGCGCGGGGTCCGGGGCGAGCGGATATAGTGAGCGCGGGGTCCGGGGGCGAGCGGATATAGTGAGCGCGGGGTCCGGGGCGAGCGGATATAGTGAGCGCGGGGTCCGGGGCGAGCGGATATAGTGAGCGCGGGGTCCGGGGCGAGCGGATATAGTGAGCGCGGGGTCCGGGGCGAGCGGATATAGTGAGCGCGGGGTCCGGGGCGAGCGGATATAGTGAGCGCGGGGTCCGGGGCGAGCGGATATAGTGAGCGCGGGGGTCCGGGGCGAGCGGATATAGTGAGCGCGGGGTCCGGGGCGAGCGGATATAGTGAGCGCGGGGTCCGGGGCGAGCGGATATAGTGAGCGCGGGGTCCGGGGGCGAGCGGATATAGTGAGCGCGGGGTCCGGGGCGAGCGGATATAGTGAGCGCGGGGTCCGGGGCGAGCGGATATAGTGAGCGCGGGGTCCGGGGCGAGCGGATATAGTGAGCGCGGGGTCCGGGGCGAGCGGATATAGTGAGCGCGCGGGTCCCGGGCGAGCGATATAGTGAGCGCGGGGTCCGGGGCGAGCGGATATAGTGAGCGCGGGGTCCGGGGCGAGCGCGATATAGTGAGCGCGGGGGTCCGGGGCGAGCGGATATAGTGAATGCAGGGTCCGGGATTAGGAACAATTTTAAGGAAACCTTTACTGGAGGAAACGTGGATGCCACCATTGCTGATCTCTCCCTAGATGCTTGTGTTACCTGGCTCTTTTTCACTGACCCAAAAACAAGCATTTGGTAAATTTAGGTCAACTAGGTATATCATGCGCTTTCCAGAACATAAAAATACAGTAGCTTCCATTGCTGAAAACCTTTTCAAAATGCTGCTTGCCTGGCCTCTATGCTTACCCATTGGCTTCATTACCTTGAGCCTGACCCAGAACAAGTATGTGAATCAGAATATCAGAACTCATGAGTTGCATACTTTTTCAGGTTAATGATATAGAAAGCACTGAATCCAGTGGTTTAGTATGACAACCAGGCAAGTAGCAATAGCAGCTTCAACATTTCTGTTAGTACTGATTTCCCTTGAAGTCATAGTTCACCTTTACAGAAACACTACCTATGCAAATCAGGGCACCTGCAGATAAAGGACTTTGAAGCTTTGAAGAAAGTTGGTTGTTGCCCTTGGCTATAGGTGCAAGCTAGTTACGTAACTCATGAGGTCTGGCCGAAAATCTCCCAGAGATGATACCACCCCCCTTTCCTGCCTTGTTGGCAGGATGTTGCTAAGATGCTTCCAGCTGTTGCTGCTCACCCCCGCCATCACCATCACCTGACCGGGTGCTTTTGCCACCACGTTAGTGTCCTCACTATACAATAGGAAGGTATAGGGTTTCAAAAGGAGTAGGAATCAATATTTAAACCTATGACTGACTACATAAAAGCCTTGGGGGTGGGCTTCAATTTATGGTAAAAAAAAGACCAGATTTGTCAGACTTTTATTCTTTTCAGTCAGCCATCTTTATGGCTTTGGATTGGTGGATGCCGAAGCTATGGTTGTTGAAGCCAAGAAATGGAAAACCGTGCCATCGCAACATGTCTGTGTAGGAGCATCAGACCGTAGGCCAAGGTAAGCTCTGACATTATGGGGATGGGGAAGAGTTAAAATATGTTTGTCGGTGACTCTATTTGGGAAATTTCTTCTTCTTTCCTGTAATGTCTTCACAAGAAATGGATGTAGACCATTACCACCGGGACAGAAAGGAGCAGACCACCCCAGTGAAAAGTTCTAACTTTTCTGTAATCTGCTATAAATATTCTAAATAGTAAATAAACTGTGCTTGGTGCGCAGCATTAAACAAAAATCAAAACTCCCACAGCTGTACTCACAAACACATAATTCCAGTGCTGAACCAAAATTTCAAAAAAAAAATGTTGCCCTGTGTTACTAAATTACATGTCTCTTGGTTATATACAGTGGGGATCGAAAGTTTGGGCACCCCAGCTAAAAATTTGTATTAATGTGCATAAAGAAGCCAAGGAAAGATGGAAAAATCTCCAAAAGGCATCAAATTACAGATTAGACATTCTTATAATATGTCAACAAAAGTTAGATTTTATTTCCATCATTTACACTTTCAAAATAACAGAAAACAAAAAATGGCGTCTGCAAAAGTTTTGGGCACCCTGCAGAGTTAATATCTTGTACTGCCCCCTTTGGCAAGTTTGGTAAACCAAGTAGCCAGCCAAGAGTCTTTCAATTCTTGTTTGAGGTATCTTTGCCCATTCTTCCTTACAAAAGTCTTCCAGTTCTTTGAGATTTCTGGGCTGTCTGTCACGCACTGCTCTTTTAAGGTCTATCCATAGATTTTCAATTATGTTGAGGTCAGGAGATTGTGAAGGCCATGGCAAAACCTTCAGTTTACGCCTCTTGATGTAATCCCCCGTGGATTTTGAGGTGTGTTTAGGATCATTATCCATTTGTAGAAGCCATCCTCTCTTTAACTTCAGCTTTTTCACAGATGGCATCAAGTTACCATCCAAAATTTGCTGAAATTTTATTGAATCCATTTTTCCTTCTACTCGTGAGATGTTCCCTGTGCCACTGGCTGCAACACAACCCCAAAGCATGATTGATCCAACCCCATGCTTAACAGTTGGACAGAGGTTCTTTTCATTAAATTCTGTGCCCCTTCTTCTCCAAACGTATCTTTGCTCATTCCGGCCAAAAAGTTCAATTTTATCCTGATCGGTCCTCAGAACTTGTTTCCAAAATGCATCAGGCTTGTCTATGTTCATTTGCAAAGTTCAAACGATGATTTTTGTGGTGAGGACGTAGAGGAGGTTTTCTTCCAATGACTCTTCCATGAAGACCATATTTGTACAAGTATCTCTTTATAGTGTGGAATAGTGTACCACAACTCCAGTGTCTGCCAGATCTTTCTGGAGGGATTGTGCAGTCAAACGTGGGTTTTGAATTGTTTTTCTCACAATCCTGCGAGCTGTTCTGTCTGATATTTTTCTTGGTCTTCCAGATCTTGCTTTAACTTCCACTGTTCCTGATGACTGCCATTTCTTAATTACATTCCGAACAGAGGATATTGACATCTGAAAATGCACTTTGCTATCTTCTTATAGCCTTCTCCAGCTTTGTGAGCGTCAACTATTTTCAGTTTCAGTTTTCTAGACAACTGCTTAGAAGAACCCATGGTGCTGATTGTTGGGGCAAGGTCAGATGAGCCTGGGCATTTAAAACCTTTGAGATTGACATCACCTGGTCTTCCCAGACGATGATTGAGAACAATCCATGACACTGGCAGGTCTCAGCTTGGCAAAGGGGGCAGTGCATGCTATAAATTCTGCAGGTGCCCAAATGTTTGCAGACGCCATTTTTTTGTTTTCTGTTATTTTGAAAGTGTAAATGATGGAAATAAAATCTAACTTTTGTTGACATATTATAAGAATGTCTAATGTTTAATTTGATGCCTTTTTGGAGATTTTCTTTTCTTGGCTTCTTTATGCACATTAATACAAATTTTTAGCTGGGGTGCCCAAACTTTTGATCCCCACTGTATATCCCAATACAAAGGATCATAATGTCATCAAAAATGTGATACATGTACCAACATCATAAATCCAAATTGAATTTTAGTTTTTTTAAATTCAGAGGTTGAAGTTTCCTTTGACTAAACTTTAAATTGCTTTGTGCCTGAGTGGTCATTGTAGAATTGTGTACCAGGACCTTTAGTTTAACGGAACTAGGTTGTGTTCTCTTTGCATTTATGTCTTTAGAAGTGGTAAAAAGCATTTTATATTAGTGTGTTTATTTAACCCGAAAATGTTATACAACCCTATAAAATATGTAAAACTGTATTCGCTCCTGCTCTTGACGTTCAATATCCCTACAAAAGCTAAGCTGGTAGAGATGCGCAGAGCATTAACAAAGTTAACAATATTAGCGGAATGTTGACTATCAGATTGTTTCACATGCTTCAGAGCAGTTTGGTTAGAACTAAAGATGGACTTGGGTTTGGTTTGAACCGAACCTTGAAGGAAGCGTTCATTGCTGCCCAATCAACTGCCCCCTCGGCTATGTATACACAAGGGAGTGGGGATGCATGACATGGGGCACAAGCCGTATTTTAACCTGGCCAAAGTTGGTAGGGTAGGGGTGTGACAGCTTCAATCCGGATTTAGTCCAAAACCAATTTTGAGCCATACCCAAGTTTGAGCCATACCCTGGTATGAGTAGATAGTGTCTCTAAGTGGTAAGGAAATCCTTGAATTGTCACTTTGGGTAGGGGCCCATGGAACCTAGCTCACTTTGGAGAAGTGGGGAGACTCCTGTCTCAGCTCCCCATATCCCCCTTATGTGTAAATCACCCTGTGCCTGTTAGGGGTACAGGGCAATCTGTCCTAATATTGGGGTGGGGGGTTGTTGGTTGGTTGATATGTGGTTGCATCCCATTGTTTTATTGTGTGTCTGGTTTGGGAGCAAACTATTATAGGATGCATGCGTTTGTGTGTTGGCTTGGGTGGGTGGTGTCTCCAGCAGCTCTCCTGGTGGGACTGTCTGTTGTGTGTCTCTCGCTACTAATGCAGGCCATAGACGGGTCGTTTATCGTCTGAATTTTCATCTGACCGAATAATCGACCAATATTCTCACCGTTAGTGGGGCAATGTCGTTGGCCGATTTTTGCGGGTCTTTTCGTTTCTTTTATTGGTCATGCTTGAAAATCTACGAAAAACGGCCGTTTTTCGTAAGCATTGGTGGCAGCAGAACAAACCGATTTTTTGTTTATTGGCCGACAATTCGGCCGATAAACGACCTGTCTATGGCCAGCATTAAAGTAGATTGCCCCGCCCTGTGTCATCATGCAGGGAGGGGGGATTGTCTCCTGAGTGTATATATCTTGTATCTCTGTTAAAATAAATTACTCTACCTCCTGGTTTTCTTCAAGACTGGTGTCGTCTTGTTTGTATGGTCAGCTGTGGTGTCTGTTGTCGGTGTTCGGATGGGGATGCGGTATTCTAACGGAAGTACCCAAGTGCAGTCTGGGGTCGGTTCTGTTACAGCCATGGTGCTATAGCCACCATGATGCCACATATTGGTAGTGTGCTAAAGTTCCATGCAGACCCTAACCTTGAATAATCAAAATGTTGCACATGTAATAGAACAGTTTTTTTAGGGCTAAAGATGAGCTTGGTTTTGGTCCTAACTGAACCCGGAAATAAGCTGTCACTCCTGCCTCCTGCCCACCCACTTATCTGTCCTGCAGCTACCCATACACAAGAGGGGTTGGGAGGCATGACATCTTCACCTGATATGGCCACGTAGCATGAGCAGTATTTTACCTGGCCACAGTTGATTGGGTGGGAGTGACAGCTTCCTTCCGACAACCCCCACAAAACTCAGGGAGTAGATAGCGTGCCTAGTGAGAAGGGAATTCTTGAATTGCTGGGCCATGGTGCTATGACCATCATGATGCCACATATTGGTAGTGAGAAAGTTTCATGCAGACTCTAATGTGTAATATCACAATGTTGCACATGCTACAGAGCAGTTTGGTTGGGACAAAGAATGATCTTGGGTTTGGTCTGGTCTAGTCCGAACCAACTCAGGAGGAAGCTATCGCTCCTGCTCACTGCCACACAATCAACTTCCCAACAGCTACACTAACACAAGGGGGTGAGGATGCATGACATCACTGACCTTATGTGGCCACGTAGCATGAATGGTATTTTGCCCTGGCCACAGTTGATTAAGTGGGAGTGACAGGTTCCCTCCGGGTTTAGTCCAAACCTCTGGCCAAACCCAAGTTCGTCCTTCATTAGGACCCACTGGGCCTGCTAGAATGTTGTGTTGGACTATGTGTGAAAACTTGTGCCCACAAACAGCCAACAGAAATCCCAGGGGGTTAGGTAGTGTCTCTAGTGGGATGGGAATGCTTGCATTGTTGGGCCATGGTGTGATTGCCAAATATTGATAGTGAGATAAAGCTCCATATCACAATGTTGCACATGCTACAGAACAGTTTTGTTAGGAGAAAGGATGAGCTTGGGTTTGGTCCAAACTGAACCTGGAAGGAAGTTGTCACTCCTGCCTACTACCGCTCAATCTACTACACATACACAAGGGGGTGCGGATGCATGACACCATTGATGTTGGGCTGTGTAGCATGAGCGGTAATTTGCCTGGTCCTCAGTTTATTGGACAGAAAGAACAGCTTCCTTTTTAAACCCACAAAAAACTCAAGTGGGAAAGGAATCCTTGGGTTGGTTGGGTCATGGTGCTGCTACCCATGTCGGTAGTGAGTTAAAGTTCCATACAGACCCTATAGTTGAGGATCTTTGTTGTGGCGGGAAGATCATGAGGCATATGAGAGTGAATTGGATGATGGCACCAAATGTACTCAGAATATGGCGGCAAGAGCAAACATGACATTTTATAGTCAGAATTGCTTCTGCCCCTTTCCTGGTATAGGGATACAATACACTCCTGGCTCTGTTGACCAGCCATTTATTGAAATCTTTATCTGCAGATATATATATAGATATATATATATATATATATATATATATATATATAGAGAGATATATATAGAGAGAGAGAGAGGGGGGAAGATATAG